CAGTTGGAGAAGATGTAACCATGTTATGGGGTTTTTCCTATTAGTAAATATTGAACAGTATAAACAAATAGCGATTGTCAGTTTGCTATAAATATAAATTGTTGGCCATTTTTTTTATAAATATTTATTGTGGATCATTCTACTATAAAATATATTACTGGTCCTTTTGTTTTAAAAATGTAATGTTGGTCATTTTACTACACAAATATAGTGTTGGTTGTAATTCTTTATGATAAACATTGCTGGTAATCTCAAGGCAAAAATGTATTGTTGGTAACATTATTATAAGAAATTATGGTTGTTAATTTTATTATTGTTATGGTCCGGTTCCTTGTACCACGGTGATAGTCCAAGGTAGAACCAAATAAAGAAGAACTCGAACACAGGTATGGAATAACACAGATATATTACAAACAGGAATATATACAAAGAAGTAGAAGTGTTAGTATGAACAATCAGGTTTAGTAGAGAAAAACAATGTAGTATCGACCAGTATCACTATTCCAATGTTTTGCAGTAATCGCCTGAACGCGACTCTGTTTCGGACTACCTCTGACTCGACTCTTGACTCGACTTGAACTAGTGAACTCCTTGCCTACTCCTGAGGCGCAGTATTTATTAAGTATGGACTCGTCCATTATTATTAAAAATGTATTTTTATACTTTCCTAGCGTTTTGATGTTTTGGGGTTCATATTTCACTCAGAGTTGAGGCCATGACTGGTGCTGCCACCCCGGGTCAGATTGAATCTGGAAAAAACAGTAATTAAGAGATGGTCCCACGCTCCTTGAAAAGATCTAATCTCTCACGTACAGACCTCACTACGGGATGTAGTTTATCGTCATACCCAGGACTAAAACTGCTTCAGAGATGAATTATATCAAATTACAGTTCTAGAAAAACTACCCCAATAATTATCCTATATTTTTGATCACTGGAATGTCATCATTCAAATGTACCCATTGTTCACTAACCCTTTCTTGTCAGCCTTTATCTCAAAGAATCGAATTGATATTTAGTCGAATTGTTAATTTTGATGGTTCGAAACAAACATCCACATGAACATGCGTAAAGATCCCCTCTTCCAAGCTGTGAGAAGCATGTCTTCATATCTCCAGTATATTGATCTCGCTTTTCAGTGGATGCTCTTATGTGGACGTTTGCCAGAGGGTCTAATCTAAGAAAATCAATGGCTCCCCTACACACTCAGACGCGACAAGAAAATCATATTCATTGGGCCAATTTGATTTACTACGAAATATCTCAGATTTCCAGGGCTTTCAATTTATAAAATCAAAAGTGTCCACTAATAGTTGCAGTTACTGCCAAATCTGATCGGTTCACGAATCCCAGTCAAGAAAATCATAGCCGCAGATGATAAAACCACATTCATATAACGAACCAAGTAAGAGAAAGTAATAATTTCAGCAATTTCCAATACCGTTAATGCTAAATTTTAGCCATCACACACACACACACACACATATATATATATATATATATATATATATATATATATATATATATATATATATATATACAAAGTATTAATTTATATATTATAGAGTCTTCCTTATATTTATATATTAGATAAAGTAACAATTTCTCACTCACACACACGCACACACACGCATATATATATATATATATATATATATATATATATATAACTTCTGAATTTTCCACTACCATTAATGCTTA